AAAAATATTTATTAAATTGGGCACGCATGTCCGCACACATATCTTAAATATTTTAAAATGATTTTTTTTAAAATATAATTTTCTTGTATTTAAAAGTTTTAACTTATTAAAATATAAAAACTAAATTTCCTTATTTTCCTATCCATAACATCAAATCATTGTCCGCACTTAATACCCCATTTCATCGAATATTCTCATTTGTCATTTATCTTCGGCAGTGAATGTATTTTCATCTCCTCTATTGATGACTGCATAAACGACATCGACAATCCGACTCCTCGACCATCTTAATATTAATTTTTTAAGCATAAATTCTAGTTAAATGACCTAATTTTCTAAATTATATTTAAAATGTATACTTGTTAAATTTTTAAAATATTTTAAAATATAAAAACTATAATCCAGTCCAAACTGTGTCGTGTCCTATATTTTCAATAATTTGACGGTGTCCGTGGTTCGTGTCGTGTTCGTGTTGTCGTGTCCGGTAAGACATATCTGCAAAGTTGACTTGTTGCATGACACCTGTTTGATACATACAAGACCAAATTGTATAACTTTTCTTTTAATTAAATGTCTATCAACTTTCTATCTGCTTTGGTCCTGTTATTGTTGGCCTGGATTGTGAGCTATGATAATTGCTGATTTGTTGTCCCAGATGCAACTCTATGGGTTCGTCCCACTTGATCCTTAATTCTTCTAGAATCATCTTGATCCATAGTAACGTGCTCACATATTCCAAGGCCATAACCCTATATTTTTGCTTCTGCAACTAAGATCTTGCTACTACATTCTTATTTTCTTGCTTCTCCCTGTATTAGGTTTTCCCTCCAAGGAATGTGCACATACCCAGAGGTAGTTTTCTATTTACTGGTGTCCTGTATGATTTCAGAATTAGTGTATGCTCTAGGATTTCTTGGTATCTTCTAAAAAAGGAATTCCTTTCCTTATGTTACCCCTTAAGGTGCGTAGTACTCTGTCTACTGCTTGCCTATGCAAGTCTGTTTTGGATTTTGAATAAACTAATTGAACCATACTACAACAATGCTTATTGGTCTCGTGTGAGATTGGATAGATCAATTTTCCCACTAGTCTCTAGTAGCCCTTTACTACATCTAGATCTCTGTCACTTCTCTCTCCCATATGGAGATTTGATTTACTGGCTTGGTGGCCGGTTACATGCTAGTTTTCCTGTTTTCTTCATAAGATTCTTTAATGTACTTTTGTTGTGAGATGAATATTCCTTGCTGGAAATGAGCTACTTCAAATTCAAGAAGTATTTAAGGCCACAATTCTTTGATATTCAAATTCCTTGGTGTGATTTTTCATTAAACTTTTCTTTTCTCCTTTCATCTTCCTAGTCAATGGTAATATCATCTACATAAGACTATAATATTGTAACTTCTTCCTGAGTCCGGTTGGTTTAAGAAGAGTGTTGGTCTCCATGACTCTGTCGATACCCATTAAGAGCATAAATTTTTGAGAATCTTCAAAGTCATGCTGGTGATTGTTTTAGCCCATAAATCCCCATATAAGGCTTTTTCTCACTCTGCATACTTTGGTCACCTCATAGATTTTTCTTTAAAATCTTGGTGGTAATTCTCCATAAATATCTTCTCCTTCAAGTCCCCCATGTAGGAACGGCATTTTTTTTACATCTTAATTGTTCCACGGTGCCAAGTTGTACTTCACTCTAGTGAAAGTATGATCCCGACAGTATTCATCTTTGCTACAGGTGCAAAGGTTTCCTGGTAGCTCAATATGTATATGTTTGAGTATAACCCTTTCAATACATAGTCCTGCTTGTACCTTTCAGTGTACCGTCCAGTTTGCTTTTACAAAGAAATATCCATTTGCAGCCGACTGGTTTTTTTCCGTTTTGGAAGTAATGATGATTTCCCATCGTATGTTTCTTCTTTGGGCCTGTATTTCATCTCTAATGACATTGTTTTCAAATCTTACATCAGATAAGGCATAAAAAATATTTTTTAAAAAAAATTTGGAATAAGAATTTTCTTTTCCTGCTTGTACTAATACCATGAAAGTTTTTGTGTGAGGTGAAAAGTTATTGAGGAATAGAGTTAGCTTATGTGATATAAGGGAGGTGGTGAATTTTTTCCTTTCCCCTTAAGTAGGTTTTTACAATTGAGACAACTTAGGTGGTCTTCCCGCTAGGCGATAGGAAAGTTGCATGTTTTTGCGAGATGCATCTTAGTTCCTTCTGTGTATTATATAAATTATTCAAATTGATCACAAAGCTTGGGAATGATTTTTTTCAGACATATTGGTATTATATAGTAAGGTAGTAATAACAAACTATAAATAACAATAATAATAGCTGAATTATATCAAGCAATAAAAGGCAATTATAAATACATTGGATTTTAATTAGGTCTCAAATATGAACTTAAGTTTTCATGGTTTTGTGGAACTGGGGTCCAAGAGTTCCTTCGGTTTTTGAAAAATCCCATGAATTTTGTTGTGCGGTTTCTTCTTTGGTCCCTTTTTCTTGCTGCGGTCGTCCGCCTAGATAATCGAGAAAGTTACCCCATCCATCTCTGCGTATCCGAGCGAAATAGGAAACAGAGGACGTCCGATGCGACGTCTTCTCCGGCTTATTCAAGCGTTCAAGCGAACATGTCTTCAAGCGCTTCCTTCTTGTCTTCTGATGTCTGGCGAACGTCTTCTTCCGAGCGGCTTCTTCCAATGCCAAGCGACCCATTTCTCCCATGTGGCTTCTTTCCTGATCAACCGAGAGAATACGACTCGCGGGAGATCGGTGGCCTTCCTCGATCTGAGAGGCGGTGAGGCCTTGGGTTCATCTCAATGTTAGGCTCCGCATTCCGGTAGACTTCTTCCCGCTTGCTCGGCTCCGATGGCTTCCTCTTCTGCCCGCTTGCTACAGGTTTTGTTGATGGCTTCCTCTTTACTTCGTTCGTGTTCTCTGATACCAATGTTGAAATAAAGAGGTTTGGGAGAAAATCATACTTTTCACAATTTTCTTCTTCCCATTTTATAGATCTATACAATATAAGAAACAATATTTAACAGATCTAATGCATAATAGCCCTAATAATACTTCTTTCTAAATCAGCTACTTCAGTATTGGAAAGGAAATGAACTTGGACTTTGCGTGTTCCTGCGGGCTTGCCCATGGATCATGCTTTGTGCTGTCCGGATCACCTTCAAGTTGGGAATGCGGGGGACTGTGCCCCCACAAGCTCCCCCTTAAATCCTCCCATGAACTTGTATATACATCTTTCGACTTCCTTAATATCTAATCTATTATATAAATCATTAAAAGATAAAATCTTTTACATTGCATATTACTTTTTTAAACTCCTTACAAACCACTTTATATATTTTCCAATTTTTTGAGCTTTTACATCTAAACGCATTTTTTATAATATATTTTTTTTTATCTTTTATTACACTTATTGATTCCACCACCAACTATTTTTACTATTATGAGCATTTTCTTTTGATACTTTAAGCACATCCTTTGCAACATTCTTAATATCACTAGCTACTTTTTCCTACATAATGTTAGCACCATCATGCACATTCAAAATCTTAAGATATTAATTTTTTCTCTCAAAAATATTATTAGTGTTCTTTAAATGCCCCCATCTAACCCTAGGACAATATTTTATTTTGTTTTTCATATTCCGCCACTTCATCTTAAAGTCCAAAACTAATATGCAATATTGTATACATAACATTTAATTCGGAATAACTTTATAATCTTTGCAATATCAATGATCTATCTCTTATAATAAAATAATTAATCTGTAATTTACTATATCCATTATTATAAGACTCATCAGAAAAGAACTAACAAAATCAATCATCCTAAGAGGTTGTCTTATTTTAGGGAGAGTTTAAGGAAAAATTAGCTTAAATCTTCCCAAACATAATTTTTGGGACTTTAAATCATATGTTTTTGATAAACCCCATTTCAACCCTCTTATTGGTTAAATCCATAATTTGTTAAAACTGGCCATTCAAAGGATTTAATGGATTTAAGGATTCTCCTCTGACAAATCTTAATTCATGCAATAAATTGTCAAATTGATTATGAAGATTTAGCAAGATTTAACTATTATCATGCGAAACAATTTTCAGATTGTAATCCTCTCAAGAGTTATTAATTCTAGATTTACAGAATTTACTAAATCCTACATGTAGTCAAATAGCCCCTAAACCTCATAGTCTGACTTTCAACTTAAAATATCCATTTCATATACAAATTTCCAATGAAAAAGCTGCATCCATTTCAAATTTTCTCAAGCAAGAACTTCTTTTCAATTTCAAAAAATTTACCTTTATTTTACCCACTCCCGACCAAATTTTCTCAAACACAATACCAGCGCTACAATGCCCAAAGCCTGCTTCAATGACTTTCAGTCATTACAAGAAAAGAAAACTTGACAAAAATTATGCCATCGATTTCTGAGAGAACTATGAAAATAAGAAGGGTCCCAAAAATACCCATACGGCCCATACCGATGCCCTGTGGTGCACTAAATCTATGAATAAAAAGTTCATTCGGTAGAATGCTGAAGCAAGAATCATCACAACTTTAACAAGAAATGCCAATCTTCAATAGATCTCACTTGACAACTTTATTAAAAATATTGTCTTCAAGCTCCAGGCTACCAATTTATTTCCAATGAAAAATCTACAACTAAACCCTAAATTATAAAGATAGAAATTATATCTATTTCAACAAAATCCATGTACATTACTTCAAATCGGGATATAAAAAAACCCAATGATAACCCTACCGCAAGGATTCCCTAGCCCTGTTTCAATTATTTACAATCAATACTACAAAATAAAAACCAATGAAAAACTAGGTCATTGTTCGTGAGAGATGTCCACGTAAAGAGGACGGGTCCGAAAAAACCCTATGCGGTGCTCTGCGGTGCCCTGAATCTATATGGATAAAGAAGCCAATTCGACTGAGATAAAAAACCTACCTGCTGAAGCGTGCTAGAGGGCGATACGGAGCCCGGTTCGTCCTTGCAACGCCGGAAGATCTTGGCAAACATTGTAAGAGATGACATACTAGCAAGATTGTAGGTTAAAGAGAGAGTGTTCAAGGAACGAAGGTAGTGCGCCAGTGTCTGAGAGAAAGCGAGGGGTTGAAGCGGCGAGAAACAAGCTTTGAGGCCCAAAGACAGATGCGGAAGACAGTTTTAGACTTTCTTCTCGGGCTGGATTGCTGGGCTTTTATGCTCTTCTCGTGCCTTACTCATTAAATAAAATAAAAAAAATAAAGGGGATTTACATTATTACTTATTTAATATTTAAAATTTTAATATTATATACCTATCACCCATAAAATAAATATGAGTACAAGAAATAAAATATTTAAGTTAATAGGATGGCATGAGTGGTAAGAATGAAATATAAGAATAATAAATTTGATATTAAAATTTTATACGAGTGATAAGAATGTAATAATAAAATTTTCGGTGTTAGATATATAAATAACATAAATAAAATGATATGTATGTAAATCCCCCAGAAATAAATAACTCCTTCATGAAATAAGCCATTAGATCTTCCTTTAAAGATCGAGATGCTCACATAAGAAATCAATCTTATTACTTGTCTTGAATATAACTTTCTCTCTCATAAGGCATAGCCAATTAGCTTGCTTAAGGTAAAGACTAAAGATGATATTAAACTTTTTCTAATATTAGAACGACGAAGAATAGTAATCATATATCTGAGCGTCAAATCTCCTTTATATTGTGCACCACCTTCTATGATATTTTCATAAAATATTTACATATTTTTAGTTTTTTACAACTTCTATAGCTTTATAGTCCATTGGAATTTATCATGGGCATCTCTTTATCAATTAAATTTCATGATATTATTTTTCTTTGCTTTTATTCCATATTTTGAGATCAAGCAAGTAATTTTCAATCCATCGAGGAACTCGTATCTCGTCCCAAATAATTTTACAATCAACTTCATCACTACTAATTGGGAGATTATCATAATTAAGCCATGCCATTAGATTCATAAATATTTCTTTCAAGTTAATAGAATGATGATAATTCACTTTGTTATGGATATCACATTAGTTCTCAAATCTTCTCATAAAACTAAAATTAAGGCTACAATTCTCTTTATCTACTTTTTTTTTTCATATTCATTAAAATCTTGACGAACGGACTCAACTCAATGAATGACTCATGAGCCAAACTTAATTAACTCACTAGCAAGCTTGAGCCAACCCTGACTCCATTCATTAATTCGTAAGCTAATCATCTAAAAAAAAATTAGAACTAAATGCACTTAAAATATATAAAAAATTCAATAAGTTCAATATAAAATTGCAAAAAATATAAAAAATTGTAATTATTTTCTATATTTTAATTGATTTCTTATAATTTCTCATTAAATTTCTTAATTTTTGTTATCGTGTAGCTAACTTAATTCATTATAATAAATGTTTAAATAAAAATGATTTTTTCTCTTTTATTCGTTTACACCTGCACCCTAGAAAACCAAAATTATGTCCAGTCCAATGATGATTTTAATATATTTCATTTCATTTTGATGAGTCCTGAAAAATTCACGGCGGCAGAGAGTGATAAAGTTTAACATCTTAGCATTGTACGAAGATCCAGCACACAAATAGAAAAAGAGAGGGTGTAACGTTCATAAGAGACACTAGAAATTTTACGTGGAAACTCCTGAAAAGGGGGAAAAACCACGGGGCCTAGCCCAGTCTGAATGAATTCATTAGTATTTGCAGTCCATTACAAATGAGGCCCTTAAGAGGAAGGTCTTGGTTCAATGTGACAAATATACATCATATATAGTATATTACATGGTGGGAGTTGGAAGAATCAATATTGACATGTTTGTTTGGGGCGACAGAACTATAGTCGGCGAGCGATGTAGGTCGGAAGAACCATAGTAGGCGGGTGACAGAGGTTGTAAAGACTGTAGTCGGCGGATGATAGAGGTCGGAAAGATCATTGTATGACGACAGAGGTTAGAAGGATTGTAGTCGGTGGGTGAAGGAGGTCAGAAGGACCGTAGTCGGCGAGCGACATAGGTCAGAAGGACTGTTGTATAACGACGGAGATCGGGAGTATCGTAGTCGGCGGGTGACGAGGGTCGGAAGGACCTTTGTCGACAGATGATGGAGGTCAGAAGGATCGGGCGACGAAGGTCGGAAGGACCGTAGTCGGGAGGCGACGAAGGACCAAAGGATCGTAGTCGGTAGATGATGGATGTTTGAAAGACCGTAGTCGGTGGGCGACGAAGGTCAGGAGGACCGTAGTAGGCGGGCGATGGAAGTTCGAAAGATTGTAGTCATCATGCGACGGAGATCGGGATGATCGTAATCGGATGGCAATAGTTGGCGGACTAACGGAAGTCCTACGGTGTTCGACGGATTGGCGGATGTCCGTCGGTGCCCAAAAAGAACTCTAGCTGCGGCCAGGAAGAATTCCAGCAATGATCGGCGGATGAGCAGAAGTCCGGCGATGATCGGCGGACTGGCAGAAGTCCGACAATGGTCGGCGGACAGGCGGAAGTTTTGTTGTGGTCAGCAAACTAGTGGAAGTCCGGCAGCGGTCGGCGGACGGGCAGAAGTCCGACGGCAGTCGAGAAATTGGTGGAAGTCTGGCAGCAGTCGACGGA